CGCAAGACTCACTCTCAACTTGCTGTCGAGGAGGTATGCCGTGTCGTACGCAGAAATAAACGCTCCGCCGGACGCAAAGGCCCGAACGACGTTGTGGGGACAAACTGTCGATCATGTTATTTACTGGAGGCCACCGCAAGCTAATATTAGTAAGTGTTTTATACGTGATAGTCATGCTGTATCTATATTATGATTGTAGCACGAATGGGTCCGGTCAACCAGAGATGTACCACAGAACATTAGCATGAAATAGCAGCTTAATGTTGCTGTGTATCATATGGTGAATGTAGAGAACCGGAGACGCTCTGTACTGGAAATGAGGTATTCCGTCTTAGGTTAACCAGTAGTCCTAATCAGTAAGCATAATATCACATCAAAATATAGAACAAAACAGAGTATAATGTAACATATCTCTTTAAAAGCTTGTTATCGAACCGGTAGTTCATGAGTTTAAAATAAGCCAAAAGAATACATTTTTCAATTTCATAGAAAAAATATTGTAGTAATATTTGTGAAGCTATAAGTTTGACAAACACACATTACTAAAATGAAATGTTAAACATTTCCTATAAATAAGTACTTAAGATTTTAATACCATTAGATAATGCTTCATAAAATAATGTGGGTATCTTTTAATGCATAAGTAGATAGGTTTTTGTTAAACCAGGCCTGTCTCAGTCCGCGCTTTAGGCATGAAAATATACCTATACCTTGTTAGGTGGTAGAGCCGTGCTGCGATTATATTACTTATTAGTATAGTTGTAGCACGAATGGGTCGGCTCGACCGGGGAAGGATCATGCTCTCACAGAATACCAGCGTAAAATTGCTACTATGTTTCGTATGATGTGTGTAGAGAACTGGAGATCCTTTTTACTGGAAACGAAGTATTCCATCTTAGTCCTCACGGGTGACAACGCATCTGCATTTTGATACCTAATCGAGGATAGATGTAGATGTCTATGGGCCACAGCAAACACTTACCATCAGGTGGACTGTGTGCTCGTTTGTCACCCTTATCCTATTAAAAAAAAACGTACACTGCGCGGAACCGTGTGAGGGGCTGATTCCGTGAGAAAGTTATGCGCGCGCTCGAGCAGACGCGCGCCTTACGTTAATATAAAAGTTATTTTTCTCTAATAAGTATTTAGCCACTTTTGATATTTATTTTTGAGTTTTTATTCAAGTATGGCCTCTCAAAAAGCTAAAAGGTACTGCATAGCATACGGGTGCTTAAATAACAATAGCAATGTCAACTTTTCATTCTTTACTGTTCCTAAGGATACTTAGATACCTAGTTACTGACGCCATAGTTACAGATTTATTATTTAATTAGCGATGCGACTACAGCTTCGCAGTTTTCGTTTTCTTCGCGTATAATGTCAATGGCTTTAAAAAATAATTCAGTATAAATAGACCTTTCAGTGCTAGCGACTGCTTACTAATGCAAGATCAGCATAATACTGGTTTTATAGTTAAACAATGTCGATAAAAGAAAGAGATTGAAAATAACAGCACTTCTCATTGCTACTCTTTCATTAATAATGCCTTCACGAGTCGCATGTTTTTAAATAGCAAAAAATGTGAAACATAAAATGGTAAGTAGGTAAATCATGTACAAGTTATATACTTAAGCAATCTAAAACTGTTGTCAATTTTAATTAAAAATAACGTAACGTCATTATCATCATCAGCCTCAATATTGATCCACTGCTGGGACACAGGGCTCCCCCTATACGGAGGGGTTTGAGCAGTAGTCCACCAAGTGTCCCAATTGGTGGACGGAGTACTAGATAATCAGTACCTACTGCTTTAGATTCCCTTAGGCAAAGATTTATATAGTTATCTTTGCCCTTAGGCGCATTTTACTACACCCGCAGGGAGACATGTGGTGATGCTATCTACTATACCGGCATCACACAGCACGTAATAGTATTAAAGTATAAGTAGGTAGTATTAGTATTACCTACTAATACTATATACCTTAACAGATATAGATAATATAAAGATAATACCTTTAACCTACCTTACATTGAACAATAATATTCTTATAACAGCAAATTACTAATACATTGCACAACACCTCGGTGTAGTCTACTATCTGCTTATATCAAAGGATTCAATTTGTTTTCTCACAACACCTAAACCTACAGTAGAAGCGGTCTTAGTAAAGACGCGTAACGGTCTAAGTGATACAGACACTCGCACGCAGACGTAAGGTGCATTTTGATTTAATACGCGCGCCGCATAATTTTTTTCGACGATATAAACGGTCCGCTAATTTCACGAAGGTCACTTCCGAGGCGTGTAAAATATTATGAACATTAGTGACGTTGTAACTAAGTTTAAACTCGCAAGTTTGCTACCAGAGAGTGATCCTTCTGTTCTTGTACTATTATTTATCCTGTGTTTAAACTACGTCTGTTACCTTTACCCACCATCTTAGACTACATCGCCACTTACCATGAGTTAAACTAAAAGTCAAGCGCTTATAGGTAGGTAAAAAAATAACCACAAATATTTTTACAGGTATGTCACTGACGGTCATACAATACGCCGATACAGTCAGACTGGCTGTAATGAGTGATGCTCGCTTATCTCCTTCTCACAACGTCCCCGCTAACCGCTGGCCTGTCGCAGTGGAACAATTAGTCGCAAAAGTCGACCATGAAATTGCCAGAATTGCAGCACGAGCAGAAATGCGTCTCGAAGAAATGCCGCAAACGGTGAGGGCCGAAGGTGAAGAAACTACTGCGTATAAATCCCAACCTTATACAACTGAATCGACTCTAAGACCTCCGAAGACGGAATCATTAAGTCCTCCGCTAGCACGAAAACGTTTGATTTAGGAATAAAATTGAAAAATAAAAGGATAATAAACAGGAAGCCAAGAGGGTTGCTTTGCTTGTTATAAAAGTGATCTACAAAGCAACATGTTGAATGTATTATGGATGAATTATACTTTCAGGTGTATAAAGTACTCTATGAATTGTACCTAATTTTTAAATAAAACGACGTAATATTTTTTTTTATTATATCTATGCTTAGTGTCAATATATTGCGAAATCTACTTCATAATATCTTGTCTACAAAATTCGCCTAATTCTGTTACAAATTCGCCTCGCGATCTCCATGATCCAGAGTGAATATTCTTTATTAGCACATCAGATATATGGGAATAGCATCTTGTTGAAACTAGTAACTTGCAAAGTATATTCCGGTAATGCTACAACTGCATCGTCGAGCAACTGAGTTCATACATGTAAGCAACATTAAGTTAAATCTCTAAAATCTGGCCAGCTAGACATTGTACACTATATTACACTATAACTGCAATGTCGTCGGGATTTACTATGAAGATTGAGTTGTTGTGTTGCTCAGCATTACAGCGATGTAGACGGTAACTCAACACCTATACAATTGCAACTAGAAATTAGTTGCCTCAAAACTAGTCCCGTCTTTACGGATAGGAATTTTATCATTTCCCTTAAATTACACGTGAAATACTTAAACCCGTAGCGATTCTGGCAAATCTTGCCTATAACAAGAGAAGCCCATGGGCCAGCACTTTTACGAGTTCAATAGAAAAAGATATACTTACCACTAGGTGGTAGGATTCTTTCTCGGCGGTAAAGGGCCGGTTTAAGGTGGCCACTCCGAGTGGACTTGGCGAGCACACTTTGGATATGTGTTGGTGGGCTGCGGTGAGATAGGTGTTCTCTCCTCCTACCACCACAACCGGAGTTGAGCCACAAGGAAGAGGAGTGTTGGTATGGCATTGCGCCCCTCGGCCCATCCTCCGCGACACTGTGAGGCCGCACCGAACGAAACATGGTCGGCGGCGGAGTCATAAATCAGATCCGTTTCAGAGGTCAGAAAGGTTGGTGTTACCGAGTGCTCGTTTTTTCCTGGCTCCGTGGCCTCCGCGTAGCAGATTCGAGGGAGTCCGTGGCGCAGATAGAGTTGATAGCAGCAAAGAACGGCGCGCATTGTCTGGTGTGCTCTTACCTTAGGAAAAGGGGGAAAGAGTTGCCCTTTCCCAACGAAGAGCCACCAAGGGGCGACAGCGCTGTTGGGGTCGCGGATGAATGCAAAAGCCATCTTGTGGCTCTGTCAATATGCGACAAATGCGGAACACTATATGGTTAATCCGACATAACCCGTCCTTTCCCCCCGTGAGGTAGGTATGCGAAAGGCTGCCTGTCCACTGACGCGGAGCGAGGCAACGGAGTGGAGAAACGGAGAAATATTAACCAATAGTATTGCATAAAAACTCCGCTCCGCTCTAGTGGACAGGGATTTGCGAGCTAGTTTAAAAATTCATACATTTTCGAAAGCGGAGCGAAGCGGCGGTGCGGGGTAGCGGAGCGTGGCGGCGGAGTGAGGCGAGCGAGGAATGGTATAGGCATAGATAATATACTATATAGGGTAGATATAGGATAGTATGCCGTTGAACTAACCACCCGCCACCCTTCACTCAAATGACTTGGTGCGTGTACTCAGCTTAGCTCCGCACAGTCCGTAACTCCTCTCCGCCCCGCTGCCTCGCTCCACATAATAGAACAAACACAGTCCGCAACTCCGCTCCGCAATAGTCACTCGCTCTGCTCCGCTGCCTCACTCCGCGTCAGTGGACAGGCAGCCTAAGTCTTGGGAATAATTTAAGCATTTAGAAAAACTAACCTATTTCTGCCGCAAGGCAGCACTGCGTACACTGCAGTGTTCCGATATAAAGGGTACAAAGCTATGCAGGGTCAGTTAAATTACAGGCTGTGAGCCATTCTATTTTAGTATTTAGAGGTGACAACGCATATGTAGTATTCTATGTTTGACGTTGACTGTACCATGGACTGCTATAGCCAGGACTAAAAAAAATATGAAATTCGTTTGTAACTTTAGTATTATTTTAAAAAAAGAAGATATTTAGAACCATGTAAATGATATAGGTGGTTAAATAACAAAATCGCATTTAGTAAAAACTTTTATTCATACACTATGTACATCATTTCTTAATCTTTTTCTTGCTTTTGATTTCTGCGTTATCTTTACGTTTTTTCTTCTGTGTACTCTTTCCTTTATTATCTTCTGGATTGCTTTTTTCCGCAACTACTGTTTCAACATCCATTTTTTCTCCTTCCTTTTCGGGTTCATAGCTAAAGCCAGGTATGTGTGGCTTAACTAATTGGAACACAAGCTTCCTATGTTGCAAATTAGTACTGTCTAAGGAAAGACGTACTGTAAGTTCGTCAAACGTTTTTAATATAACGTCATCACAAATTTGGAAATGTTCCTGTAAAAACATATGTTATTATAGTTATGTTTTTATATTATTCTGATGGCAGCCTAGCAGTGGCTAAACAGACTTAGACAGACATCCAAGGTCTCGACATCAAGGCTTTTTGGTGATGATTTATATTGGTTCAATGGATTTTCAATGAAAAAGTATTATTTTTAATCGTGCTTGTCAATTATTTAAGGCAATTTTGATTTACAGTTAAATTCTTTTATTTTAAAGAGAAAGGCTAAGAACTCTTATATAACACTGTATAACATGATGTATGATGAACTGTTAAGCCTGTTAATGAAATCAATGGGTTAAAATAACAAAAATTGATATTTTCCTATTTATATCCCCGGCAGCTTACGTCAGCAGCGTCGTCCTAATAACGACTAAAACTAAAATAAAAACTACGGTTTGCAAGCCGCTTGCAAAACGTAGCAATTATGGCAGGTATCTCGTCTATGAGGCAATCTGTGGGGGAGGCCTATGTTCAGCAGTGGAATTTAATAGGATAGAACGGTAAAACGAAACGCAACAAAACCTTTGGCGGCAGCGTTATGAGCTGCAGACTCAATTCTCACTGGGAACAAGTATCGAAACCATAAGATCTTCCTAGCTATTCCCACAGTCACGTTTTACGACATTCGCTTGCTGATGCCTATAACGCAGGTCGAGTTGGAGGCCGCGGAAGATCCACATGGACCTTTATAACAAAACATCAAAATTTTGGTGCATTAAACATAGGATCTCACCTCTTCATTATAAGTGAATTTATCGGAGGGCAAATACAGCGGCCCCTCCAGACCATATTTCGGAATCAACACTTGAAGAGCGTTCCGCTTCACCGCCAACACGACGGCAGACTCTATTTCAACACGGTTCTTGAATAAGATCTGTAACACAATATTTTACAATAATCATGCTGTCGCAGAATTCAAATTAATGCGACCTTGAGGGAGCGTTTAATAATTACGAGAGGTGTTTAGGGGGGGGAGGGGTCTAGCTGAATCTCACCCAACCTCACGTGTGGGAAAGGTAAGGTCTCGGCAAATATCACTTAATTGTTTTGTGTAACAGTGTAAAATTGGGTTAAATTAAGTATTAATTTCTTAAAAAAAACATAATTTGCTTGATTACTTTTATACAATATATATATATATATATATATATATATATATATATATATATATATATATATATATATATATATATATTAAATAAACCCAACGCAATCAAGCACAGATAGACACTAAAAATATGCATTTTGAAACATCTCATGTGAGATTAGGAGGGTTTCGAGCCATATAAAACGATATCTCACCAGGGAGAGGGGGATGGTAAAAAAAACGCCAAAATCGCCACACAAAATTAGTGGACGTTCCCTGATATGTGCAAGCATTCACACGATTGCTTACGAGAAACGGTGACCCACTTTATTGGTGACGAGATTCCACCTTGCATTTTGATTCTTAATCGAGGATTAATATAATGAGTCACACTTATGTACTCATACTATCTTATACCATCAGGTGGAATGTGTGCTCGTTTATCAGCCTCACTTCTAAAAAATATTAAGCTGGGTTAAAATGATGACGCCGTTAAAAATAATAATGATAGTAAGTGTTATATTCATTATAATCTTCAGTATGGTGATCATAAAACGATTATATTTCTAAACAAAAGAAAGAAGACTATTACAATACAAAGTCGTAGTTTCTAGTATGTGGCTTACATCAGCAACATAAATATATAAAAAATAAAAGTGAACTTTATGCAGTACACTAAATCATAACAATCGTAAGGTAACAACAATAATAATGATAGCCAAGATAACAGCTATAAGAATGATAGTGATGTTAATGATAATGATATGCGTGGGTATTGCGTGCAACCGATGTTCAACTAACATATTGTGATAACAGTATTTAAGGTTAAAGTACTATTACTGTGCATCAACCTCCACAGTTTTTTTTAATACTTTATAATTGACTTGTCATCAAGGAGATGCTGTTGCTCGTCTCCCGTTACATTTTCACCCTATCACCTCATGCGATGGATGATATTATGTAGTAGTGGAATTAATTATACCAGTATATAATAAAGGTTTTTTTTAAATATAATAGTGACAGTGATGATGATAATGTGGAATAAAACTAATTTCACGGGTATTATCGCGTTTAATTTCAAACGCGATAAAATACGGAATATTATTTTTATTCATTGTGTAGTATTGGCGTAAATTAAAGAAAATTTTTTTCTTTACTAGGATTTTCTCATGTACCGTGGAGGTAGTTAACAAACATAAATTACACAAAGACAACCATCTAGATGCGGAACCATTATTTGTAGACCTTACAAATACTAGTTTCGTGCGGGATTCGAATCCGCAGCCCTTAGAGCAGCAACTCAATGCTAAGCCACTGCACCATGGGCCGTCAAATATTACAATAAAACAATGATGCAGTGAGCATAGAAGTAATATGCACTACGTACTAGAAGAAACAAAGAGGGTTGGTCGTTTGCAACCAGGATTAGAGCCCGTGGGCGTAAACTTACTTGTGAGCCATAAAAAGGTACTCTGTGGCTCCTTCCACGCGTCCCGCACAATCGCACAGATTTGTTCGCAGTGTCCGTTCTAAGACGTAGTACATTAGTTCCATGACAGATTTTATTAATATTTTTTCCTTGATGGTTGCCCTGTTAAGCCATGTCTTAATGCCATGTTTTAATCGGGATCTTAGTTTTTATAGACTTTTCTTCACAATATGCTGATGATTTTGACGACAGCTCAATCCAGCGGATAGTCGATGACGACAGTCGGTCAAGTTCATAAGGCGCCTAAGCGGTCAAAATAACTTGAGGTTTATATCAACATCGAAGCACTTGTTTCGTCGTTTTCTCTAATAGTTCACATGCGATCAGATGCGATTCTGTGTATTATATGTCTGCATATAATACACAGAATCGCATCACTTACGTGTCAATATCCACTTGAAAGCATAATTTAAACGATAAAACGGGAACAACAATCCGTCGGGTGTCAAGTTCCCGCCAGAACATGTGAATGGCAGTAAGCGAGCGAGTGAGCGACACGTACGTGAGTGTTGAGCGCGACGGAGGCGCGGCCGGCGTACTGCGCCTGGCGGTGGCGGTAGTTGAGGTTGTCGCACAGCGCGTCCGCGTGCTTGGTGTCGAGTGAGCGAGTGAGCGAGTGAGCGACACGTACGTGAGTGTTGAGCGCGACGGAGGCGCGGCCGGCGTACTGCGCCTGGCGGTGGCGGTAGTTGAGGTTATCGCACAGCGCGTCCGCGTGCTTGGTGTCGAGTGAGCGAGTGAGCGAGTGAGCGACACGTACGTGAGTGTTGAGCGCGACGGAGGCGCGGCCGGCGTACTGCGCCTGGCGGTGGCGGTAGTTGAGGTTGTCGCACAGCGCGTCCGCGTGCTTGGTGTCGAGTGAGCGAGTGAGCGACACGTACGTGAGTGTTGAGCGCGACGGAGGCGCGGCCGGCGTACTGCGCCTGGCGGTGGCGGTAGTTGAGGTTGTCGCACAGCGCGTCCGCGTGCTTGGTGTCGAGTGAGCGAGTGAGCGACACGTACGTGAGTGTTGAGCGCGACGGAGGCGCGGCCGGCGTACTGCGCCTGGCGGTGGCGGTAGTTGAGGTTGTCGCACAGCGCGTCCGCGTGCTTGGTGTCGAGTGAGCGAGTGAGCGACACGTACGTGAGTGTTGAGCGCGACGGAGGCGCGGCCGGCGTACTGCGCCTGGCGGTGGCGGTAGTTGAGGTTGTCGCACAGCGCGTCCGCGTGCTTGGTGTCGAGTGAGCGAGTGAGCGAGTGAGCGACACGTACGTGAGTGTTGAGCGCGACGGAGGCGCGGCCGGCGTACTGCGCCTGGCGGTGGCGGTAGTTGAGGTTGTCGCACAGCGCGTCCGCGTGCTTGGTGTCGAGTGAGCGAGTGAGCGAGTGAGCGACACGTACGTGAGTGTTGAGCGCGACGGAGGCGCGGCCGGCGTACTGCGCCTGGCGGTGGCGGTAGTTGAGGTTATCGCACAGCGCGTCCGCGTGCTTGGTGTCGAGTGAGCGAGTGAGCGAGTGAGCGACACGTACGTGAGTGTTGAGCGCGACGGAGGCGCGGCCGGCGTACTGCGCCTGGCGGTGGCGGTAGTTGAGGTTGTCGCACAGCGCGTCCGCGTGCTTGGTGTCGAGTGAGCGAGTGAGCGACACGTACGTGAGTGTTGAGCGCGACGGAGGCGCGGCCGGCGTACTGCGCCTGGCGGTGGCGGTAGTTGAGGTTGTCGCACAGCGCGTCCGCGTGCTTGGTGTCGAGTGAGCGAGTGAGCGAGTGAGCGACACGTACGTGAGTGTTGAGCGCGACGGAGGCGCGGCCGGCGTACTGCGCCTGGCGGTGGCGGTAGTTGAGGTTGTCGCACAGCGCGTCCGCGTGCTTGGTGTCGAGTGAGCGAGTGAGCGACACGTACGTGAGTGTTGAGCGCGACGGAGGCGCGGCCGGCGTACTGCGCCTGGCGGTGGCGGTAGTTGAGGTTGTCGCACAGCGCGTCCGCGTGCTTGGTGTCGAGTGAGCGAGTGAGCGACACGTACGTGAGTGTTGAGCGCGACGGAGGCGCGGCCGGCGTACTGCGCCTGGCGGTGGCGGTAGTTGAGGTTATCGCACAGCGCGTCCGCGTGCTTGGTGTCGAGTGAGCGAGTGAGCGAGTGAGCGACACGTACGTGAGTGTTGAGCGCGACGGAGGCGCGGCCGGCGTACTGCGCCTGGCGGTGGCGGTAGTTGAGGTTGTCGCACAGCGCGTCCGCGTGCTTGGTGTCGAGTGAGCGAGTGAGCGACACGTACGTGAGTGTTGAGCGCGACGGAGGCGCGGCCGGCGTACTGCGCCTGGCGGTGGCGGTAGTTGAGGTTGTCGCACAGCGCGTCCGCGTGCTTGGTGTCGAGTGAGCGAGTGAGCGAGTGAGCGACACGTACGTGAGTGTTGAGCGCGACGGAGGCGCGGCCGGCGTACTGCGCCTGGCGGTGGCGGTAGTTGAGGTTGTCGCACAGCGCGTCCGCGTGCTTGGTGTCGAGTGAGCGAGTGAGCGACACGTACGTGAGTGTTGAGCGCGACGGAGGCGCGGCCGGCGTACTGCGCCTGGCGGTGGCGGTAGTTGAGGTTGTCGCACAGCGCGTCCGCGTGCTTGGTGTCGAGTGAGCGAGTGAGCGACACGTACGTGAGTGTTGAGCGCGACGGAGGCGCGGCCGGCGTACTGCGCCTGGCGGTGGCGGTAGTTGAGGTTATCGCACAGCGCGTCCGCGTGCTTGGTGTCGAGTGAGCGAGTGAGCGAGTGAGCGACACGTACGTGAGTGTTGAGCGCGACGGAGGCGCGGCCGGCGTACTGCGCCTGGCGGTGGCGGTAGTTGAGGTTGTCGCACAGCGCGTCCGCGTGCTTGGTGTCGAGTGAGCGAGTGAGCGACACGTACGTGAGTGTTGAGCGCGACGGAGGCGCGGCCGGCGTACTGCGCCTGGCGGTGGCGGTAGTTGAGGTTGTCGCACAGCGCGTCCGCGTGCTTGGTGTCGAGTGAGCGAGTGAGCGAGTGAGCGACACGTACGTGAGTGTTGAGCGCGACGGAGGCGCGGCCGGCGTACTGCGCCTGGCGGTGGCGGTAGTTGAGGTTGTCGCACAGCGCGTCCGCGTGCTTGGTGTCGAGTGAGCGAGTGAGCGACACGTACGTGAGTGTTGAGCGCGACGGAGGCGCGGCCGGCGTACTGCGCCTGGCGGTGGCGGTAGTTGAGGTTATCGCACAGCGCGTCCGCGTGCTTGGTGTCGAGTGAGCGAGTGAGCGAGTGAGCGACACGTACGTGAGTGTTGAGCGCGACGGAGGCGCGGCCGGCGTACTGCGCCTGGCGGTGGCGGTAGTTGAGGTTGTCGCACAGCGCGTCCGCGTGCTTGGTGTCGAGTGAGCGAGTGAGCGACACGTACGTGAGTGTTGAGCGCGACGGAGGCGCGGCCGGCGTACTGCGCCTGGCGGTGGCGGTAGTTGAGGTTGTCGCACAGCGCGTCCGCGTGCTTGGTGTCGAGTGAGCGAGTGAGCGAGTGAGCGACACGTACGTGAGTGTTGAGCGCGACGGAGGCGCGGCCGGCGTACTGCGCCTGGCGGTGGCGGTAGTTGAGGTTGTCGCACAGCGCGTCCGCGTGCTTGGTGTCGAGTGAGCGAGTGAGCGACACGTACGTGAGTGTTGAGCGCGACGGAGGCGCGGCCGGCGTACTGCGCCTGGCGGTGGCGGTAGTTGAGGTTGTCGCACAGCGCGTCCGCGTGCTTGGTGTCGAGTGAGCAAGTGAGCGAGTGAGCGACACGTACGTGAGTGTTGAGCGCGACGGAGGCGCGGCCGGCGTACTGCGCCTGGCGGTGGCGGTAGTTGAGGTTGTCGCACAGCGCGTCCGCGTGCTTGGTGTCGAGTGAGCGAGTGAGCGACACGTACGTGAGTGTTGAGCGCGACGGAGGCGCGGCCGGCATACTGCGCCTGGCGGTGGCGGTAGTTGAGGTTGTCGCACAGCGCGTCCGCGTGCTTGGTGTCGAGTGAGCAAGTGAGCGAGTGAGCGACACGTACGTGAGTGTTGAGCGCGACGGAGGCGCGGCCGGCGTACTGCGCCTGGCGGTGGCGGTAGTTGAGGTTGTCGCACAGCGCGTCCGCGTGCTTGGTGTCGAGCAGCGTCGCGTGCGTCACGTCCGCGCCGATGCTCGCCGCCAGCAGCCGGTGCACGATCACGTCCGCGTATCTGCACGTATACAAATCATCATCATCATCATCATCAGTACAACCCTTCACAAATCCACTGCTGAACATAAACCGCTCTAACAGAATACCAGCGTAAAATAGCAGCTCAATGCTGCTGTGTTTCGTATGGTGAGTGTAAAGAACCGGAGACCCTTTTTCCTGGAAACGAGGCATTCCATCTTAGTCCTCACGGGTGACAACGCATCTGCATTTTGATTATTTATTGAGAATAGATGTAAATGTCTAATCTCAGCAACCACTCACCATCAGGTGGACTGTGTGCTCGTTTGTCACCCTATCTTATATATATAAAAAAAACCTCCCCCACGAAATGCCACAAAGAACGCTCCTGTGCCACTCTATCTAGTAGGCGGCCCGCCCTAGGTTCCGTTCACACAGACCAGCTCGGCGAAGAGCAAATTTTGATTGCGATTAAAATAGAGCTTGAGATAGTTAAAGTTAGGTTTATTTTTACATTTCACTTAGTATCCGACCGAAACAGGATTTTCAACCGAAACCGAAACCGAAACCGAAAACGAACCTTCGGTCGGGGTGTCAGTTTCGGCCGAAACCGAAACCGAAACTTATTTAGACGTGTTAAATTTTTATTGTATACTTAAATCTGGTATATTTTTTATACATATACAGATAGTTAATGAAAAATAGTCATTGTAATAGTCGTGTAGCAATATATTTATAATACTTTTTTTAAGTCATTTTGTAAAAAAATCAACACACCCATAAAAAGCTTTTTTTTTTGAGTTTAATTGAGAACATGTTTTATTGTATAAAAGCTTTTAGAAAAATTTACTTCGCAAATATCCGCGTTATAAAATAAAATGATGTGTCTTGCTTAGTATGAAGAGCAATCAAGCGCTCTCCCTCAATTGCGTGCACTATTCCCGTCACCACTAATCCCAGCACCGCTACTCCCAACACCACTACACTAGGCGAGACACACCACTGACGATAATACGACACGTGTTTCGCCTCTACACGAGGCATCCTCAGGTGATATAGACTCTACGGTGGCTAACCTCTAAGTCACTTAGCGGTGCTGGGATTAGTGGTGACGGGGATAGTGCACGCAATTGAGGAAGGGCGGGAGGTGCTCTTCATACTAGGTAAGACACATCATTTTATTTTATAACGCGGATATTTGCGAAGTAAATTTTTCTAAAAGATTTTATATAATGGAATTCCGCAAAATAACGCCTGATTCTATTAATTATATATTTTATTGTGTTCACAATATTGTTAATATTATTCAATGAGAACATTAACTTAATATCACATTTACACACAATATACACACAACTTATCAAAATCCCAGAAAATATACAAAACATGCTCAAAGTTCAAAAACTTTATTAAACTAAGTTTGAATAAAAAGGGTTATTATAATTGTTACGGCTCTCAGTTGCCCAGACAGAAGTCGACTGTATTAGGGCCCATCAGTAATGCATTCGACGGGCAACCAGAGAGTTCGGGCCCAAATGGCCTATGGATATGTAGTATATAAGGCTAGGTAATTAATACGAACTTACCGGGTTCCGAATCGAGGACCGAACCCAAGGCTCTGTCAGGCGTTAAGTATGTGCTTGTAAGTTTGTGTTAGAAATTGTCTATACATGTAACCTGACGGCCCATTTAATCGGCAGCAACCCTGACACCCGGCACCACCCCACGATGTGGTATCACTCCAGCGGCGTCACCTCGATGTCACTCAAGTCTAGAGTCACTTAGCACAAATCTATAATCTAATACGAACGCTGTTTCTCGCGAGTCACAAGGTTTTAGCGTTTTAACCGACAAGGGAAAATGTCTCCGAACTATATCAAATGCCACACGAGCAAAATTAATATTGTCAAATGCACTTCTACAGGCAATCACTATACAAATTGACGTAAATTACTTGCAAACAAAGTTAAGTTAATCATTCAACTCAACAAAACCCTCGTCGTTACGTAAAACGTACTAACAAACAAAAACGACACAATTAGAGGTTATTCGGTACGCGACCACGCGGTTCTAATAGCTTCCACGCGAACTCGCAGTTCAACGAAGCAAAACGACTGCTCGTGGCGTGCGACGCCTCGGCAAACGAGTCCCGTTATCTACACGTCATGCCGGCCAGGAATGCACCGCGTCGCGCGCTTCGTAATAAAATAAATTAAAATTTAGCATTTGGCGCAAACAAACCCCGTCCCGGGCATAAGGCCTTATGTCCGCGAGTAAATTGGCAAACGGAATAGGGTCGCGACGGCACGTTGCAAGACTGAATCTCCAACCAAAACCTCAGCTACCCTAGGCACCCCATCCGATCCATACGACAACTTAACAATGCGCCCACGGCGCCAATACAAAGGCAAAGCGTTCGGTTCCTTAACTAACACGAGGTCTCCAACCCGAGGAGGATCCGTCTTATCAGACCACTTAACGCGCTGGTGCAAAAGATGTAGGTACTCCAGAGACCATCGGTGCCAAAAACTCTGAATCATTTGTTGCAGCAGGTCAAATCTGCTCAACCGCGAAGAGTTTATTTCCCTGAAGGGGTACTCGGGCAGGGCGTTAAGCGGCTGGCCAATCAGGAAGTGGCCCGGGGTTAGAACCTCCAAATCATTCGGATCGGACGAGAGGGGACAGAGGGGCCGAGAGTTGAGTACCGCCTTAATTTTACAGAATACAGTGGCAAACTCCTCAAATGTCAAAATAGTTTCGCCAATAACGCGACGGAGATGCGTTTTTGCAACCTTAACCACCGCCTCAAAAATACCGCCCCAGTGTGGGCAAGCCGGAGGGTCGAATTTCCACTGGATGCCCTTCTTGGACATCGCAGTACCTAAATAAGTCCTGTTGCTGGACAGAAATTCGACGACCTCTTTCAAATATCTATCCGTGCCCTTATAATTCGTTCCGCAATCAGACCGGATCAAGTCCGGCAAACCGCGACGCGATACGAAGCGGCCCAGAGTGGCCAAGAAGGCTTCCGTGCTGAGGGCACTTACAAGTTCTAAGTGAACGGCCTTAGTGGAGAGGCACACGAAAACGCAAGGATAGGCCTTATGTGAACGCGCGTTACGAAGGTTAGAGGAATTGACGAGGAAGGGGCCAGCAAAATCTGTCCCGACTCTAGCGAATGGTCGGAGGGCCCTGACGCGGTCGGGTGGCAAGTCATCCATCATAGGCTGCGATATGGTGGCCTTCAGTTTATAACAAGGTATGCACTTAAAGATGACGTTCCGAATGGTGCGTCGTCCAGCCAAAATCCAAAACTCCCGCTGCATAATAGCCGAAAGAGCATTACACCCAGCGTGGGCATTCTTAACATGATAGTGAGTTACCAGCAACCGAACAAAGGCGCCGTCCTTAGGGAGCAGTAACGGGTGTCGAGCCCCGTACGGCAGTTGAGAATTTTTCAAACGTCCGCCAACGCGCAGCATCCCAGCGTCGTCCAGGAAGAGGTTCAGACGGGCCTGAGCGCCCTTGACAACGGAGCCCCGCTTCAAGTTTTCAATCACGGGCTCAAAATGCTCCGCTTGGACCATACGGGTCCAATGCATCAAAGCTTCGCGACGCTCTCTAGGGGACAAAACGGAATCAGAGATTTGGTTAGACGGGTCTCTCGAATTGCGGACAAATCGACGCAACCAAGCAGTCACTCCTAAGAGCTTATCGAGAGAGCTGTACCGTTCTAGCAGGGAGAGATCCCGAGTGTATCCTTGCCCACTACTACTCGGGCTCGTAGGCCAGGTAATTCAATCGGTTCGGAGTATTTATTCCGGGGCCAGAATGACTGAGGCTCAGTCAACCAACTGGGACCCCACCACAGCGGGTGGTCAACCAAAGAGGGGGGTTCACAGCCGCGAGAAGCGCAGTCTGCGGGATTCAACTCCCCTGGGACATGTCTCCAGTTTAGAGACGTCCCAGAATTCTGGATTTGAGACACGCGGTTCGCCACTTGTGAGGTGAAGCTCTGAGCCAACAAAGTACTATCTAACTGTCCGACCAAGCGTAGACGTCTGTAATGTCGATTACAGACTTCAAAGACGAGTGAACGTGGTTAAGGAGTCGCGTGAGAAGAGCAGCTCCGGACAGTTCCAATTTAGGGATAGTTATGCGGGACCTAATAGGAGCAACCTTGCTTTTTTTTAGCAAGTACGAGATGGACGAAAGTATGGCCAGAAGAGCTCACAGTCCGCAAGTATACGACAGCAGCATAGCCTTTCTCAGAGGCGTCGCAAAATCCATGTAGGGTAGCCCTGCATTTCCCTGGAGGGAGGAAGCACCTTGGCATGGAGACCCGGTTGATGTCCGGAAGGGAGGACACAATGGAGATCTACTCTCGCAAGAGAGCACCGCTAATAGGCTCGTCCCAACCCAACCCGGATGGATATCCGGTTTTGGTTGATAGAGCTTTTGAAGAAAGCACTTAGCCAAAAAAATGACCGGAGTAATCCATCCACTAGGATCAAAGGTGCGGGCTACTGTAGACAGCACGGAGCGCTTGGTCCATGCTTTAGGAGGGGGATCGAGTTTGACTCGATACGTGAAAGTATCCTGAATAGACTGATATTGAATGCCCAGCACAGTCAACAAAGTCCTCAATTTCCCAAAACCGCTGGACGACGTCCGAAAGGGACACGCCCACAACAGAGAGCGAGTCGGCCGTCTGAGGAGGTGGAGACCACAGAACCGGTCCAAAGAAGCTGTGCCCAAATACAGTGGACATGGCTGACAAGCCATCGGGCTGTAGGGCTCGTATCTCGCCTAACAAGATGAACCCCAGCGCGTCGGCCCCCAGCAACAAATCTAAGGGCCCAGGTAGGACCACTGAGGGTCTGCCGGTTTCACACCCGACGCACAACGAACCGTGCTGTCATTTATACAGACGTTAGGAAGAAAGCCTACAACATCATCGAGGACATTTACCTTAACTAGAATGTGAAGCTGTTCGCTGGCAGGGCCAAACACCAACTCCGCTTGTTCCCTAGGAGCAGGAGGCTCGGCACCTCCGATACCTACCATTGGACGTGATTCAGAGCTTCAGGGGAGCCCTAGTCTTCCCACCAACCAAGTGGAGGCCACACAGCGTTGTGAACCCGAATCCAATAGAGCGCGAACCGTTAAACAGTCGCCACGCGGGTTGTACACCTTCACTGAGGCCGTCGGCAATAGAACAGTTTGACATGTGGACTGTTGACGGCCAAAGGCTGTGGAGGCGGCCGTGGTGGGAGCTAGGGCGGCAGCTTCCTAGCTGGAGCTGCCTCCATCGGACCGGTACTCGAACCGGGGGTCCCGAAAACGGCATTCCGGCGACTTCTCAACGACCCGTGGTTGCCGCTCACCAAATGGGCCGACCTAGGGAAATTCGGGGAACCTCGGCCTTGAGGCCCGGGACAGTCTTGAGGTCGCAGGAACCTGGTAGTACCGATACCGACCAAAGGGAGGAGGGTGGTACTCCAGTCGCGGCCGCTAAGCTGAGCGCTGAGTGCCCGCGAAGCTCCTCTCAACACGCTGAGGGGGGGGGGTGACGACTCCCCCGCCCCTGGGGGTACTACCCCCCGACCTGTCGGGTGGCGTCGTCCGACAATTTCAAATGGCCGACGACGCCCAGGGCCTCCCCCTCCAATGATGCCAGGAGGTACCCCATCTTCTGGCTTGGTGTCAAGTCCCTCCGGGTGTCCACTAGGCTGTCAAACAGAGCGACAAAGGTCAGCCATTCGGAGAGGACCCCGGAGAACCTTGGCAGGTCCAGAGTTGGGAGTCGTCCTAACAGCTCCGGCTGAGTAGGCTGCTTCCGAGGGGACTCGGACAGGCCACTCAGCCGAGCTTCACACGCTTCCTCAGCATACTTGGCCCCCGCCTCGATTAAGTCGTCCGTGAGCGAAAAGAATTGCTCGTAGTCCGCGAGGCAGGAGTCTAGGACTCCCTGTTCCGCATCCGAGGCTAATAGCTCTGTGCAAGCCTCCTCCACTACGGCCCTTCGGGCCGCGACCTGCTCGAGCCGCTTCTCTAAACTATGGACCCGATCAGGTCGCCCTATCAGGGTATGGGCGTTCACGGCCCAGCGCAGCTCCGCCTGCAGGCGAAGCGCCGGTAGCTTTTGTGCGATGGCATCACTACTAAATACAACTTACTACACGGCACAAACACGGATTAAATTAACAAATAACAAATACAATTACTATTAAATTAAGTTAGATACAAATTACATACTCAGTCACCAAAGATGCCTCGTTGAAGCGACCGACCCTTCGGCTATTTAACCTACCTACCCAAAATACTTGACGCGTACCTAGCCCTAACAAACTCCTGCTTGCGCAACCTAACGGGCGTGGTTCCTAATTCTACCCACCTATCCGCTAACAAAACACAAAAAATATTTATATTACGTACGTACGTATTTATTACCTACTATTTTTATTAATATTACGGCCGGGCGTGATTGGAAATCAATCAACCACGCTCCTGCTACCACTTATGTTACGGCTCTTAGTCGCCCAGACAGAAGTCGACTGTATTAGGGCCCATCAGAAATGCACTCGACGAGCAACCAGAGAGTTCGAGCCCAAATGGCCTATGGATATGTAGTATATAAGGCTAGGTAATTAATACGAACTTACCGGGTTTCGAATCGAGGACCGACCCCAAGGCACTGTCAGGCGTTAAGTACGTGCTTGTAAGTTTGTGTTAGAAAGTGTATATACATGTAACCTGACGGCCCATTTAATCGGCAGCAACCCTGACACCCTGCACCGCCCCACGATGTGGTATCACTCCAGCGGCGTCACCTCGATGTCACTCAAGTCTAGAGTCACTTAGCACAAATCTATAATCTAATAAGAACGCTGTTTCTCGCAGGTCACGAGGTTTAAGCGTTTTAACCGACAAGGGAAAATGTCCCCGAACTATATCAAATGCCACACGAGCAAAATTAATATTGTCAAATGCACTTCAACAGGCAATCATTATACAAATTGACGTAAATTACTTGCAAACAAAGTTAAGTTAATCATTCAACTCAACAAAACCCTCGTCGTTACGTAAAATGTACTAACAAACAAAAACGACACAATTAGAGGTTATTCGGTACGCGACCACGCGGTTCTAATAGCTTCCCTTTTACACGCGACCTCGCAGTTCAACGGAACAAAACGACTGCTCGTGGCGTGCGACGCCTCGGCAAACGAGTCCCGTTATCTACACGTCATGCCGGCCAGGAATGCACCGCATCGCGCGCTTCGTAATAAAATAAATTAAAATTTAGCATTTGGCGCAAACAATAATATTAAAATTCCTTAATGGATGATAATAACCCCTGGGAATGAGGTAATCACTACCAAGCTTTTCTAATTTGTTTTGTGTTTTTAATTATTGTGTTACATACATGATTGTAAGCAGTGGCGTAGCTAGGCATGGGCGAAGTGGGCCCTCGCCCACGGCCTCGCAATTAAAGGGGCCTCGCGAGGCCCCCTAAAATGCGATGCCCTCAGACTTTACAACAGATGACTAATTAATTTGATCACTTATACGCTCGAAAAAGAAAGTCACAAATTTAAGTGTGTTTATTTGAGACCTAGCAAGAAGCCCCTCTTAAGTGCGACTGCGAGGCTGTTGTAACTATCTTCAAAGACCGCGACTTGTCAGGAATTAATAGATATGAGTAGGTAGGTATGTCGTGTCAAAGCATGCTTGATAAGATAGATCTATTGGAACTCCTTGGAACGAAAGAAAAGTGGCCTCGCTGATGCAAATTCGCCCACGTTTATATCAGTCCACGCTACGCCTCTAATTGTAAGCTGTTATTTCAAAAAAAGTCCCACTGGGTTTCTTGCTGGTTCTTCCAAGGACAGAGGTTTATTTTTCGAGCCTGTGGTAATTAAACAAAAGAGTGACTTTCAATAAGTATTATTTATAATCTATATTGAATAAAAAGTTTCTTTTTCTGTATAATTATGAATAATACACGAGTCACTAACTCATCCGAACGACGCAGATAATCCACTAACACTGAGTTTCGGCGCCGCCGAAGGTTCGGCGGATTTTTGCCGAAAAAGAAACTATTACCGAAAGTAGATTCTTTTGCCGAAACTTGCCGAAACCGAAACCGAATCTTCGGTCGGTCACTAATTTCACTTCTTTTGTTATATGAGAATGCGTGAGAGTAGACCTAACGCGCTTAGTGTAACACAATAAGAGCCTACCAACTGCCTGTTATCGTGTCTTCCGCACTAGGGCAGCCGACCGGCTTCGTTTGCGTACTCTTTAGCACCCGCGCAATAGTAACAATTGAACGTAACAGATGGGAAGAGGACACGCTCGTCTCCAAACGCATCCGCTTTGACAGTGCTCTTCCAGCTGTCTATGTGAAACGACTTAGTCCGCTTCGGCTGGTTTCAAGCGTATAAGCGTATTGTATAGCACCGTCCGATGCTCTCCGAGCCAGTCTGTGTGAACGGAGCAAAGTGTAGGGGATTTTGCTTACGGGTACATAAACAACTAATTAAGAACTAAAAAAGAGGCATTCTATCTTAGTGCTCACGGCATCTGCATTTTAATTCGCAATCGAAGATAGATATCTATGAGCCACAGCATCCACTTACCATCAGGTGGACTTTTTTTTTTTTTTTTTTATAGGAGAGGGGGCAAACGAGCTTGCGGCTCACCTGATGGTAAGTGACTACCGCCGCCCATGAACAACCGCAACACCAGGGGAATTGCAGATGCGTTGCCGGCCTTTTAAAAAGGAGTAGGCTCTTTTCTTGAAGGTCCCTAAGTCATATCGGTCCGGAAAAATCGCTGATGGTAATCGATTCCACAAGGAAGTCGTGCGAGGAAGAAAACATCTTCTAAATCGCACAGTGGTGGACCGCCAATCATCCAGATGGTGTGGATGGTATCGGGAGTTCTGCCGCAATGTGCGTTCATGAAATTTGGCGGCTGGGATTAATCCGAACAATTCCTCAGAGCACTCCCCATGGTAGATGCGAAAGAAAATGCAAAGAGATGCAACATCTCTTCGCAGTGCCAATGAATCGAGCCGATCGGAAAGGGCTCGGTCGTCGACGATTCGAGCCGCTCTGCGCTGGATGCGGTCAAGTGGAAGGAGCTGGCACTGGGGAGCCCCTGCCCAGAGATGGGAACAGTATTCCATGTGAGGCCGAACCTGCGCCTTGTAAAGTTGCAGGCGGTGTGCCGGCATGAAATACTGTCCCGCTCTGCTGAGCACGCCAAGCTTTTTAGAGGCCAATTTGGCCTTCTCTTCCAAGTGACCACGAAACTGCACGTCACTCGATATGTCGACTCCGAGGATACCGATACTGGCTGAGGCAAGAAGGGGAGTGCCTTGAAACTGAGGAGATACGACAAAGGGGTTCTTTTTAGCGGTAAACGCGCAAACTTGTGTCTCGGACTGTGTGCTCGTTTGTCACCCTAATTCCATAAAAAAAAACTAAGATTAATGAAGAACATGGAAGAAAGGAATATGCATTACCAACACATGCAAACCAAAATAGTGAACTTTTAACGAAAAACAACAATATACACACACTAACCTTGCAAGCTGTTGCGATTGTGCTGATATGGCTAATTATAGCGACTTAAAAGTTGCTGAAATCGGTCAAAAAAACTAACCTTCGGATGGGTGAAGTAAAGTGAGTATAAATAGGACATGCCAGCCCATAGTGGTAGAACTCTTCTTGAGTTCGCGTGCCGCTTGAAAAATATACGGCTTGCTGCATACAACGCGTCGCCATGATGCGGAGGAGCGTGTTAAAAAACGGACGCTCGGGGATCACGGCGGCGTCTAAAGACTTCGAGAACGACTTGTTTGTAGACACGTCCAGTTCGAAGCCCTGTGACAAAATTATAAATCAAACTAAAGGCATTTCAGGTAAGATACCATGTTTTTAGCCGACTACAAAAAAGGAGGTACTCAATTAAAATTTATGTGCAAGAAGTGAACCGATTTTATCAAATAAATTATACTTCAGAAGTGGTCGCGTAAATATTTGGAGAAAAATAGTACTTCCTAATCGTAAAAAATACGGGTGAAGTTTTTCAATGTAACTATGGGTTCAACTTCAGTATGCCGAATGATTCTGTGGCATCTCGCATCATGCCGAAGGATCTTGCTTCTGATCTTGTTTGAAGGCGCTTGCCAAACAAGTCAAGACACGCTCGTGTACCGGGCGCCCGCGCGAGTCGCTGCGATTGCCGCCGCAACGTTCTAGATTCAACCTTGTTTCAATTTTCTAGCACACTAAGATCTGGCAACTTTACTAATGGATGTTAACTTTGCCATCAGAGGTATACTGGTACAAAATTACGATTAACACGGATAACGTAACTTTTCCGAGATAAGCCATGTTTTGGATGAAAATACAATAATTAATTGACAGCATTGGTTTGTTCGATATGGCAAAATGAGAGTTAATTTTGGCATTTTATTTTAACGCGGAATTGTGCCGGCGAAATAACCTCTTTGTTCAGTGCTCCAGAACTTTAGTTTTTTTTTTTGTTTGAAATACTGAATGTAGGTATGTAATATATCGTTTTTAACATGTTGGTCTTAACATTTATCTATAAAACTAACTTGGCAAAGTTACCGTAACTAGTGATGCCACGATGTGACGGTTACTTTGCCTTGTTTTGTTACAACCAAGGGTTGTCACTTTCAACCTATATTTTTAACCGTTTTACATGCTATGTATGTATGTATATTTGTATCGATGTTTCACCGTAGCAGCCCATTAGACCGATTTTACTAAATGAGTCGTCAATCAATTCATCTTTATTAAAAGTGAAGGAAAAGAATCATCATTACAGCCCTTCACAAGTCCACTGCTGAACATAGGCCTCCCCCAAAGAATGCCACAAAGCACGGTCCTGAGCCACCTGCATCCATCGACTTCCTGCATGTCTTACCAGGTCGTCACTCCATCTCGTGGGGGGACGCCCTACACTTCGCCTACCGGTACGAGGCTGCCACTCGAGAACCTTTCTTCCCCATCGGTTGTCGGTTCTTCGAGCTATATGGCCGGCCCATTGCCACTTCAGCTTACTAATCCGTTGGGCTATGTCGGTTACTCTGGTTCTACTGCGGATATCCTTATTCCTAAGTTTATCACGCAGAGAAACTCCGAGCATAGCCCTCTCCATAGCTCGCTGAGCGACCTTTAGCTTCCTCATCCGGCCAGCAGTGAAGGACCACGTCTCAGTTCCGTATGTCATCACTGGCAACACGCACTGGGTGTACAGTCTCGTTTTCAAGGTTTGAGGTATACCTGACGAGAAGATGTGCCGTAATTTCCCGAACGCTGCCCAACCGAGTTGAATCCGTCGATTGACCTCTCGGTCGAAGTTAGACTTACCTAGTCGGACTATTTGTCCCAGGTAAACATACTAGTCAACAACTTCGAGCTTAGTGTTCCCAACAACTACCGGCATAGGTGTGACATGGACATTAAACATGATCTTAGTTTTGTCCATGTTCATCTTAAGACCTATCCGTTGGGAAACACTATTGAGGTCATTGAGCATAGTGCTTAGGTCCTCCAGCGATTCTGCCATAAGGACTATATCGTCGGCAAATCGAAGGTGAGTGATGTACTCGCCATTGATGTTGATACCGTATCCTTTCCAGTCCAGAAGCTTGAAAACGTCTTCCAATGCAGCGGTGAAGAGTTTCGGGGATATGACGTCACCCTGTCTTACGCCTCTCTGCAATTGGATAGGTTTCGTACTCTGGTTCTGTACTCGGATAGCCATCGTAGCCCTACTGTACAAGCACTTCAACACTTCGATATACCGACAGTCAACTTGTCACCGCTGAAGGGACTGCAGCACCGCCCAAATTTCGACGGAATTAAAGGCTTTCTCATAGTCCACATACGCCAGACATAGTGGCAAATTGTACTCTTCGGACTTCTGTACAATTTGCCGAAGGGTATGTATGTGGTCTATGGTGCTAAAGCCCTTTCGGAAACCGGCTTGTTCGGGAGGCTGGAAGTCGTCAAGTCTGCGCGCGAGACGATTCGTAATGACTCTCGAAAACAGCACGTAGACGCGGCCCAGAAGGGAAATCGGTCTGTAGTTCTTCAAGAGAGCGTTGTCACCTTTCTTGAAAAACAAGACCACCACACTTCTGCTCCACGCCTCCGGTGTAATGCCACCATGGAGGACGGAATTAAAGAGCTTCTGAAGGACTTCAAGTACCGGTTTTCCACCCGCTTTCAGAAGCTCCGCTGTAATTCCATCCTCGCCTGGGGCCTTACCGTTTTTAAGGTGCTGGAGAGCCATTCTAATCTCGCTCAGACTTACGTCCGGGATATCTTCGGAATAGTGTCGGATGAGACTCGCTCTTGAATCGTTACTCACACTTGCGTGTGGCTCCAACGATGACGTGTACAACTGCCCATAGAACCTCTCAATCTCACTCAAAATCTCAGGTGTCCCGGAAACGATGCTACCACATTCTGTCTTCAGCTTTGACAGTTGGCTCTTTCTGGCAGACAGATCTCTGGCAAAGACTTTGGAGCCTTGGTTCCGCTCGATCGCTTCTTCAATACGAGCTGTATTGAAGTTGCGTAAGTCCCGCCGCATGCATTTGGAGATCTGTCTGTTCAGATGCCTGTATGCTGTCAAGTCTGTTGAAGAACGTAGCTTCATCTCCCGTCTAACAGCCATGAGATTAAGAGTGTGATCGGAGAGTTTTTGTGTTCTTCTGCGGCGGGTCTTGCAGAACTTAGCTCCGACCGCATGGACAGTTTCCACGAGCTTGTCATTCATATCGTCCACTTCATTGCAGTCTTCTAGGCACTGAAAACGGTTTTGTAACTCGAGCTGAAAGGTTTCGGGACTTTGGATTAGAGCACGAGGGGGACGGAGCGTTGACTTCATTAGACGAGACCTCTCCAACTTAACGTTTAGGTTCAGTGTGCCTCTAACCACTCGGTGATCGCTACCAGTTTTCACCCTCGCGATCACGGAGACATCACTGAACAGTTGTCGTCTGGTCGTCATAATGAAGTCAATCTCATTTTTTGTCGAACCGTCGGGGCTCGACCAGGTCCACTTCCTGTGGGGCCGCTTCTGGCAGAAAGAGTTCATCATAAAGAGTCCCTCTTTCTCCATGAAGTCGGCCAGCTGCTGGCCCCTTGGGTTCCGTTGCCCTATTCCAAATTTCCCTACTTTCAGCTCACCGTTCTCTCTTGTGCCTAGTTTTGCATTAAAGTCTCCCATTAACACCGTATATTGGGTTTTGGATGAATACATGGCTCTAGAGATATCCTCATACATTTCCTCCACCTCCTCATCGGGGTGTGCCGAGGTTGGTGCGTAAACCTGTATGACCTTCAGCGAATACCGTTTGGTGATTCTGAGTATAAGGTACGCAACCCTCGTCGACACACTCCCGATCTTTACAACGTTGTTAACGAGAGACTTGTGGACGATAAATCCGACACCTCCTTGGGACAGATGGTCGCCCTCCCGGTGATAGAGCAAGTTGCCGGATTCGAGGATTACCGTGTCCTCCCCCTCTCTTCGGACTTCGGATAATCCTATAATATGCCAGCGCAACTTGTCTATCTCTTCTTCCAGCTCCACGATCTTCTCGTCAGTCCTCAGGGTGCGTGCGTTGTACGTTGTCAGGTCGAGTCGTCTAAGGTGGCAACCGAACCTCCACCGGAGATTCTTAGCACCCCCTGCCCCACCGTTACCATGGTCGCCACCGTAGCCAGGAATAGCGGGGCCGCCGGGGACTGGGGGCCGTTTCTTTGTTACTGTCATTCATAGGGGGGGGGGGGGGGGTATCTGCCATAGTTGCCACGCTTGGCGAGCGGGTTGGCAACCGCAGTTTTTTTTTATTGTTAGTTTGTTGTTATCAAGAAGATGCTGCTGCCCATCTCCTGCCTGTTTCCCTTTGTCGCCTTTTACGACACCCACGGGAGGATATGGGGTAGTGGATATTCTTGACCGCCACTACACGGCAACGGGAAAAGAATAGAGAAATCTTATATTATTTTTACTGCGTTGTCGGACATTAATAATATTATTACTACTCAGTATTTTTCCTAATTTCAACTTAGTGTATTGATATTAAGCAAAACATTAATTGTCATTTTTAATGATTATTAATGTTTTGCTATTGTGGGAAAACAATATTTAGATTGAGTACAATAATTATGACCTGGCATCATTCTATTACAACCCGTAATAAAATGGTGATGATGACTAATAAAAAAACGAATACTTGTTATATACTATAATTGATTTAAGCTTATTATTGCACCAATTTTATTTTTTATTTTAGACGAGAGTATTTTTGTTGGATTTTAGATATTTTCTTAAGAAATTATTGTAAGATTTAAATAAAAATATTAAGTTGAGTATGTAATCAAGGATTTTGACAGCCCTGACACATATTTTCAAGGTTATATGAAAAATAGGAAAATGGGAGGGCAACTTTGCCACAAGCGTAAACTTTGCTATTTGCAACACAATCAAAGAAGCAAATCAGAAATCTGGGTGTTGTGTTTTATATTATGAGGTAAACTTACCTTCAAGCTTGAAGTCAAATCCTATTATTTTCTACCGACTTCAAAAAGGAGCCGGCACTCAATTCGTTGTGTGTAACTTTTTACTGGGTGAACCGATTTCGATGATTCTTTTTTTATTTGAAAGCTGGTGCTTCACATGTGGTCTCATATAATATTAAGGTCATATTGATTAAGGTCTGACCAATAGTTTTTGAGTTATTCTTAATAATTTATATTGAAGTCAGTTGTACAATTTTTTTAATATTAAATTATCATTATAAACCCTGATGGCCAAGATGCCACAAAGTGAGGTTAACTTTGCCATTTTCTATTTTTGAGTATTTTGTCTATTTAATGTTAGTATTTGTTTAAGTCACTAATAAATACTAAATCTTTGAAGAATATAATGTCACATTTAACATTGACGCCCAGTCTTACAGTTAATTTTTTGTTGGAAAATTGGTGTTAAACTTTTAAGTCTTTCCAAAAATGGCAGTTGCCAGGTTTCACGGCAGTCACATTCTTTTAACAACATGAAGTAACTTATGCGTTTCACGTGATGCAGTGGCACGTCACGGTATCCCATAGAATGCAGTGACGTGCCTCAGCATTCCGCGGATTAACGTGACTTGCAGTAACATGCCGCGGTGTCGTGTGAGATGTTTCAGTCTATTCGTGTGGAAATAAAGGGATGTCAGTGTTAATTTCAATAAAATAAAAATAAAAATCTTTTGTCCATTAAAAAATCCTTTGACACGCCGTGCCGTCTGAGAGCGCAGGCCCTTGCTCTTGTATACAAAAGGGCCAAGAAATTAAATGTTTAATATATTGTAAGAGCCAGCTTCAATGTAAAAGTAATAAAATAACTACATAATATAATAAAATAAAATAATTACATTATAGGTTCTGAAGTTGGGGGTTCAGTTCTTCTGTGTCTTAGCACTGTTTTTGTTAGATTATTATTAGAATTTTGGAGTGAAGCGACAGAAACAGGCAAAAGAGTGATTCGTTTCAACAATAAAATCTCAGAAAATATTCAAGAAAATGTTGAAAGTTCGAGAATAAACAAATTTAAAAGTTTTATTAAAGAAAAATTGTACGAAAAAGGTTATTATAACTTCAAGGCATATGGAAGGGTTATTAAAATATAATGAATTCAAATAACCCCAGGCAATGAGGTGGTCGCCACCATGCTGCTTCTATTAAACTTCATATAAAAATTATACAAAATTATTGTACTACGTGTTCATTTCATGAATACCTTCCGCCGCGCTCAATCATACCGCGCCTCAAGCGTCGCCCTTATAGTACCGATAGCAACGCTGAAATATATATACGTCGTTGTTAGTGCTCCCGTGCGATCTCTAGTTTGTTACTGTTTTTGTTGTTATTTTTGTTACTGTTGATTTTTTGTTTCTGTTGACTTTTTATGTTCGATAATTTGTGATAAACACAGAATGGAGTGATGGAAGTGACACAGAAACGAATGATTTCGATAAAATAACTGGTATCGAAGTTATGGATGCGTAAATATCTACCTACCAGTTTTGGTTCGCGCTTTCGTAAATAATTTATTTAAAATGTATAATAAAACTATATTAAAAATATTTTATTTTATCGGACACGATAACAAAATACCTTACGAAATACGATTTCAGATATAACGAAAAATCTACGAAAATAAAATAATAACAATTCAGTGTTATTATTTTACTTTACTATATAAATAAATTATTCAATAATATGCATTTTATCTACATGCTACATGCTGCCCTCCAGGGCAAAACTATTAATAAGTTAATAACTGTGATGACAACAGGACAACAAACTAAAATCAAACTTCTTACAATTAAACACTTACAATAATAGTTTTGTCTACGGTACCGTCAGCTGTGACGTCATAACGGTCGACGACGGCAAAGTTGAAATTAACACGTTTACTACGTTATATATGTTTAAAAAAAACTATCCCGCTGGGTTTTTTGATAGTTCTTCGCAGGACAGAGGTGTTTTCCGAACCAAAGGTAAATAAAAAAAATATTTTCAATAAGTATTATGTAAGAATCTATATGAAATAAAAAATATTCTATTCTATTTTATTCTATACTTACCCAGACTAGAGAAAGGCATCCCAGCACCTAGTAAATACATGATAAACCGTAGGTAAATACATGATAAGTAGCGGCACCTGCTGGCTGGCGGCCTTGAGGAAGGTGTGGAAGTATGCGGGGGGCGGGGCGGGGTGGCGGCGCAGCAGCGCGCACTGCGGGAAGTCGCGCGCCAGACGCTCGGCCACGCTCACGTTGGCCAGCAGCATGAACTCCTCCACCATCGAGTTCGTGTCCAGAATCTTCTTCGCCTGCACCTCCATCGGCTCGTGCGTCTCCGAGTCCACCTGGTGGTTTGCAACTTATTGTGTTTCTTTTTAAGAATATGTGTGACAAACGAGCACACAGTCCAGTCCACCTGATGGTGAACGCATTGGCCCATAGACTTCTATGTACATCCTCGATTAAGAATCAAAACGTAGATGCGTTATCACCCTTGAGGACTAAGATGGAATGCCTCGTCTCCAGTAAAAGGGATCTCCGGATCTTTATACTAACCATATGAATCACAGCAGCGTTAGGCTGCTATTTCACGCTGGTATTCTGTAAGAACATGGCCCCTCCCCGATACAGGCGATCTATTCGTACTACAACCATGATATAGCTGCATGGTCTACTACGGGAAAAATATAAAATAGTGTAGTGATCGTGACTATTATTGCTGTTCATGAGACCCCAATTCAGTATAACACCATATATATATAATAATTTACATGTTGTTATATTTCATTTAATTAACGTAACATTTATTTTGTTTGAAAATTTTTCTTTTAATTTTGATATAAAAATAAAATTAAGTACCTATTTCGAAATACTTTATATAATTAGCAATGACCGAGTTTTCACTGATAGTGGCCACAACAATACATGTAAACTCGGTCATACGAACAAAGATTATAGACTATATATAATATATAAAAGTAAAGTAAAGAAGTTCGACTTAACATACCTGAAATCGTATCTCAGGCGAAGCAAGCAACAAAGCCCCATTATCCAGTCGTTTCCGCTTAAGTTTCTTCGCGAGTGCATTGAGCACACGGAGCGAACTTGCTATCTCGTCTTGCCGGGAACGGTCGTCGATTATTAACTGGGCTTCTTCATATGTCATTGCTGAACGGGACTGCAAAAGATAAATGTTAGATTAACAGCAGGATAAAACTTTTCTGGAAGACTTGACAAAGTTATCTTTCCTTTCTTTGTCTATAGGCACAATTTAGACCTTACAGTTGAGAACTGAATATACTTGCATTTAACACATTACATTACCATGATAGTTGACCCTTTACTGTTACCTGCTTTCATAATAAATCGGGCAATATTTCTTCCTGTCACCTGTTGGACACTAAAAATACTTCTAATAGATGGGTTGTGTAAAAAATTAATCTATAATTTACATCATACTAAAGTATCATAAAGAATAGACAGACATCCGTACATACCTTTATAACACTTTTATGGAACTTAGTAGATATAACGTTAGCATTTTCGTCGATTTCCCAAACACAAGAGAACGCTAATCTCTCTTCACCGCCGCGCAATGAACACAAGTTTGAGCTAAGTAAATCTGAAATAAATGAAAGAGGCTATATTTAATAATTAAACCAAGGAAAATTTAATGATTAAGACCTCTGTAAATGACAATAAAACGATGTTGAAATTTCCCAAATCAATAATATAACAACAAGCAAGACGCAACCATTTTTTACCAAAGTAGTCAAATACCTCACAGAATATCGGCGTGAAGTGGAAGCTCTGCTTCCGCGGTTCGTCTGGTGAATGCGAGTGTCCGGGGGCCCAACTCCCCCCACCCTATCAACATGGTAGCGGAAATTAAATGGAAGACTACACCAGGAATGTACCACTACTACTCCACTCCTGAGCGTGGGTGCTCAGGCTGCCCCGAAGAGGGAGGGGGGGGGGGGGGGGGCTGAGGCAAAATTCCACTAAACTGTTGGGGCAAGCTGAGCAACAAGACCAAGCCGACCCCTGCCACGCTATCCGTGAATTTCTACAATATCTGGGTTATTCGCGCCAAAAGCTAACGCGAGAGGGCGCGCGGCTCGGTGCCATACCGGTTTTGACGTCGGTCGAGCGGTGGGTGTTGAGAACGCGTAAAGGCGAAAGCGATTCGTCGGCCAGCTGTGCTAACATCAGCACGCTGTCAATTTTGTGCGGGAACCGCGGAATAGTTTAGGCGTCTAGTAAATATCCTGTCTAGGATTTATAACGCGCATTCCTTGTTGGATAGCTTTTCCCGGGACTTATTGGGTCCAACTCAGAAGCTGTATAAGTGCATTCGGCAATATTAGCTAGTGCGGCCTTTGATATTCTAGAATTAACTGTTGCTACGCGAAGCGGTAGTGACTTTTGATCCGGACACTCCCTGTTAGTTTTGTGTGTTAAGCTTTAAAACAAACGATAGTGACTTCTGTAAGTTAGTTAATAGTACGATAGAGTTAATGGACTGTCATCGTGACGAACGAAGAAAGTGACTGTGGACGGCGCCGTGTAAGATTACCTCAATTTGGAGCGGTGCTGCCGCCCGGGCTGCTGCCGACTGCAAGGTCTACTAAGGTCAATCACCATCAGTCATACCCAGATACACATCACAGCACCTTATTTCCCTTGCACTACACAAACACATGCGACCTGACCGAATCCTGAGGGAGCAGTCGCCTTGAATATAGGTAAGAAAGCTCCGTCTAATATTCTCCCTGTTGAATGGCCGTAGTATAGAACGCTCCCCCTTTATTGTTTAGTGTAACTAGAGATTTTCCACTTTGGCCTTAGGAGGCCCGGCCTACGTCTGCTCGTCAAAACTCAGCTGAATGGGCCCCTGAGGATTTGACCTTTATGGGAGCAACCGTAGGCCGTAACAAACTGGTAGCAGAGCGTAGTTCCAGGTTCGATTCCCCGGTCGATCCCGACCATAGTGTTTGATAAAAATTAAACAATTCTGGTGGCAGGGAGCGTTGGTTTGATTGGTTTAATTTGTATCTATGATCACGCATTTTGTACGTAATAATAAAATTATTTTCCTTTGTTGCTTGCTGATTTGGTTAGCGGGTAGATTTGAAAGCCGCGCCCTTTTAGTGCGCAAGCGGGAGTTTTTCTAGAGGTATACGTCATGTAGGTAGATGGATATTATCACGTAATCGGTTAATTATCGTTGTCGGATAGTTGTAGTGGATTGCTTATCGAAGGGTCGATTTCCGAGCGAGGCATTTTTTGTTGATCGACCGTGATGTGTATCTTTAGTCGTATTGTAATTTGTATTTGAGCTAAAGAGTAGTAATTTGTATTTGCGCAATTTGAATTTAACTTGATTTGATCGCACTAGTGTTTGTTATTTGTTAATTTGATTTGTGTCTTTTCTCTTGTGCTAACTTGTATTTGGTTGATACGTAGTAATTCGTATTTGTGTAATTTCTATTCAACTCGATTTGATTGGAACTGCATTTATTAACTGTTAATTTTTTGTTGTATTTTTTATTTGTTATCTTTGTAATTTGTGCTCGAGCCGCGTCGTAATTTGTATTTAGTAGTGATGTCATCGCCCAAGCTACTAATCCGTTGCCTGCGGACTGAGTTACGCTGGGCCATAAGCGCCCATGCTTTGATAGGTCGACCGGATAGGGTCCATAACTTGATGAAGCGGTTCAAGCAGGTGGATGCTCGAAGGGCCGCAGTGGAGGAGGCTTACGCTGAGCTCGAGTATTCGGATGTGGAAAAGGGAGTCCTGGACTCCTGCTTCGCGGACTACGAGCAGTTCTTTTCGCTCACGGACGAGTTGATCGAGGCTGAAGGCAGGTCTGCCGAGGAGACGCGTGAAGCTCGGATGAGTGGCCTGCCCGAGTCCTCTCGGAAGCAGCTTCAGCCGGAGCTGTTGGGACGGCTCCCAACTCTGGACCTGCCAAGGTTCTCCGGGATCCTTTCCGAATGGCTGACCTTCGGTGGTCTTTTCGACAGCCTAGTGGACGCCCGGAGTAACTTGACCCCGAGCCAAAAGATGGCGTACCTCCTGGCCTCACTGGAGGGGGAGGCCCTGGGCGTCGTCGGCCACTTGAGATTGTCGGACGACGCCTACCAGACTGCTCGGGACCTCCTAGCCAGAAGATACGCCAACGTCCGGCGAATTGCGGACGAACATGTTAAGCAGCTTCTAAGCCTCCCGCTGCTTAGTGACCGAGCCAGACTACGTCCGGACCTGTTGGATCCAGTCTTGGTGGCCTATAATACGTTGAGGCGGCTGGAATTACCAGTGGGCGAATGGGCTTTTTTGTTGCTCCGCATCGTGCTGTCCCGTCTACCTCTCGACCTTAGAATCCATTTTGAGGAGAGGTACGGCGGGGACGAGGCCTCCTATATTCCGCCCTTCTGTGACCTGCTGCGGTTTTTGGAGCAGTGCCGGTAGATCGAGAACGCGGCGGGCACCGTTGACGACTTACGAGACGTGCCCAGTGAGAGGCTGAATCCGCCAGGCAAGTCGTCGTCAACCCCCCCCCCCCCGTTTGTGAGGGCACCTCCAGCGAGACTGTCCGCATCGGCGGCCCTGTCTGCATTGCCAGGGCAATCATCATGCAGTTTTGTGCCTGGGTGCGAACGGCGTCTCCTCTCGGGGCTCTGCCAGGCCCTCGACCCCCACGGGCGGGGTCGCTCAGCCACGCCCTCTGCCGGGCGACTCTCGGTGCCCGCCGGCCAGCCACCAGGCCCCTAAGTTTGAAAGGGGTCCCTCCCCCGACCAGTCGGGGGGTAATTCCCCCAGGGGCGAGGGTGTCATCACCCCCCCTCAGCGTGTGGAGAGGAACTTCACGGCCACTCATCGGTCCGCTGGACCTTTCCCACTCCCGTTAGCTGAGTGGCCGCGACTGGTGTACCACTGTTCCACATTTGATGGAGGTGGCCCTGGCTAGCTGCCGCCTTAGCTCCCACCACGGCCGCCTCCACTGACCCTTAAGCCGTCAACAGTCCACTTGTCAAAATGTCCTGTTACCGACGGCCTCAGTGAAGGCGTACAACCCGAGTGGCGACAGTTAGCGGTTCGCGCTCTATTGGTCTCGGGTTCACGCCGTGTGGCCTCCACTTGGTGGTGGGAAGATTAGGGCCCCCCTGGAGCGTGGAATCACGCTGTCAAGGGGTATTAGATTGGTTTGGTCGACCACTTAGTTAAAAATTCTTTAAATTAAAATTAAAAATGCTTTTGGGTTTTCCGCGAAATTTCCATATTTGTAGCGGTTGTGATTAAAAGAACTGAATTTAATCTACTCCTTTAAATGCTGCTGCATATGTTTTGTAAATATATTTAATCACTGTGTTTGTTTCTGCACGGAAAATTGAAATTGAATTATGTGCCTTTTTGAATGCTTGTGCGTATACTTTGTAATAGCATTCTCTTCAGCAACCAGGCGCAACAATAAAGTATTTGATTGTTGCGCCTGGTTGCTGAAGAGAAGGTTTGAATTCATTTGAAATTTAATGTCACGCTATTTGGAAAATTATGTATATGTTTTGTGATAGTGTTTAATCATTTTGCTTTGTGAAAGGGAAGGCTGAAATTAGATAACCCTATTTGTGCCGAAGTAAATAAAAGTCAATTCTCCTTTGGTTTACATTTGGTTGGCACTGTCTAAGTTATTTAAATGAGAAGTAGGGCTGTCCCTTACGTTTATTGTTTTGTTTAATTTGCAAGTTGACCTATGTGCATCGGTGATTAATTTGTTTGAATTAATTCTATAGTTGGACATTGATGCTTTGAAAAATTAGTTGAAATATGAGCATAGGACTACTTGTCTAACAGGTTGGCTAGTTTGTAGATTATCAGATGGAAATCAGCTGTCACACCATTTGGTAAATGATTGTATGGTGGATGGCTTGGCTATGCCTACTTGTTTGAAAATTCATACTAGGGACTATCTGTGCGTTCGTTCGGCTCTCCACAGACGACGTTCATGGTGAATTTAAGGGTGCTCTCTGCACTGAAGCTTAGGTCACTCTGGACCGCTTCGTGTCACGTCGCTGTTTGCAGACCTGATCCGGTTGGATTGCGGAACTAATCATAGGAGCACAGATAGGTGTTTGAAGGAGGTCGTCGGACTTCTGTCTAGAAATAGGACTTATTTATGGGCTGCGATGTCCAGGAAGGGCATCCAGTTCAACCCTCCGGCTTGCCCACGTTGGGGCTGTAATTTTGAGGCGTTGGTTAGGGTTGCAAGATCTGATGGGGTGCCTAAAATGACCTAGTTTTGGTGTAGATTCGGTCTTGCAACGTGCCGTCGCGACCCTGTCCCGCTTGCCGGTTTGCTCGCGGACATAGGTCCTTATGTCCGGGACGGGGGTTTGTTCGCGCCAAACGCTAATTTCAGGAACTAACGCGAGAGGGCGCGCGGCTCGGTGCCATACCGGTTTTGGCGTCGGTCGATCGGTGGGTGTTGAGAACGCGTAAAGGCGAAAGCGAGTCGTCGGCCAGCTGTGCTAACGTCAGCACGCTGTCAATTTTGTGCGGGAACCGCGGAATAGTTTAGGCGTCTAGTAAATATCCTGTCTAGGATTTATAACGCGCATTCC